TTCGAGACAGGGTTTCTCTGTGTAGCTTTGCGCCTTTCCTGGAGCTCACTTGGTAGCCCAGGCTGGCCTCGAACTCATAGAGATCCGCCTGGCTCTGCCTCCCGAGTGCTGGGATTAAAGGCGTGCGCCACTAACGTGAAGAAAGGTTTTAAACAATATTCTTGATGTTGATAATATTTTTTATTTTAGAAAATGAAAATCTTGTGTTGAATTTAATCATATTAGCTGATTTAATTCATTTGTAAAGAGTTTCTCCTAAGAGAATATCATATTTTTATCTAGGTATTGATCTGGGATTTCATTATTGTTTTGATATTTAGGGGAAAGGGTTTTCCTGTGTTTCTGAGAAGATATAGGGTACCCCCTGCCATTGCTATGTATGGTGAAGAAGTACAGGTTTCTTGCTTTTTTCCATTCAGTCTTAGTGTTGATTTGTGGGTACCTTTGAGTGTGTATGTGTATGTCTAGCTGTCATAGAAAGTTGTCTTTTTTTTTTTTACCATATCTTGCAGCAGGGAAGAAGGAAAGTGGGTTTTGCCTAAGGAAATAAGCCTGAGATTTAGAGTCAAAGCAAATCTTAATTGCCTTTTTTACATTGCCAGACTTCTATGTGTAGATGTTTTCCAAACTTTATGAGAAATCAGGAGGTGTGGTAGTGAGATTCCTAACTTACCATCTATGAAGTGAGTAGCTTGTTAGTATTATCCAATTTAAAAGACTAGGTTGCAATAATTCTGTCTTCTAGAAAACAGAAGGTAACAATTTAAAATTGGAATATTCAAGGGATAGTGAGGGAAAAAAATGTGAAATTAACAGCCTTGATTCCAATAGACAGTGTTTTGTCAGTGGATTTGTGTCCTGAAAAAGAACTCCATGTAAGAGCAAGCAAACACACAGTTAGGAATACTGAAGTACTAGAAAACATTAACAAAGGCATGAAGTTATACCATGGCATTTTGGAATTCCTAGATCTACTTAGGCCTGGAAATGAGGAAGGGTATAGAGACATCCAAATTAAAATAAACCAAACTAGAATGTTAAAAATGTTTGCAGATTTATGGATATCATAATGAGAAGACTTAGCATGTAACTTCTCCTATATCTCTACTGTCCAGCATGTATTATTCCAAATATGACTCCTAAAACACATACTTTGCAGAAGATCTTGGCCCTCACTTTGAACCTTTCCACTGGTTACTGTATTCTTTCAAGGTCAGTGTAGTGTCTCCCCTCTACACATCATTATTCTTCAGTGTGATTCTTGTTCTATCAAGTATCCTATTTATGTTCTTTGGACAATGGCAGAAAATGTACTAGAGGAATTTTCCTATAAAACTACAAAGAACTGCAGTTACACACAAAGGCAAGGCATTTGTACACATTTTAAATCAGAATATAGGAAAAGTAACAGATATATTTAATTTTTTATATAAGGAATATTGCTCTCTTAGAAAAAGAATAACCACGTAAAGACACAAATTCAGGAGTTGTAATCATTGTCACTATTGATCCAGCTTGATTATAAATACACCTGTCACTTCCAGGACCAAACAAATCCCAAGCACAAAGCCTTATTTTCTTTGAAAAAAAATAAAGAGGCTTCAACAAAATGGGTCATGGACTCTTTAAGAGGGAAGTGCCTAGAGGTTTTACGGTGATATGTTTACTCAACCATAATGCAGCTGAGGGTCCACAGGAAATACAATTGGTGGAAATCACAGTTGCCCATCTCATTGATGATTTCATGATAGAAATTTAAGCTTATTATTTATGAAAATATAATCTGATATTGATCTCTAATAAAATCCCATCTCTATTTTCATTGGTTGTCACTCATTCATCATACAGACACACCTTTGTCCCTATCATATCAGTAGTTAAAAAGCTTTCTCATCACTCAAGTTGTCTCTAGTTTTTCCCTCCACACTGTGTTTAGCAATTGTAAATGTGTTTTGGAAATTAACTTTGCTTCATTTACAACTGATTCAAGAACAAATTGAAAGCCTCACATTCCTTTTATTCATAAGCCTGGAAAAATGTGGTTTAGAGCACAGGGTGAATATTTGTTTACTCTTTGGTTGCCTTTTAAGTACATTAAAAGCATAAATAGAACCAATATTCACTGACTTAAGTTTTAAAATACATGAAGAAATATAAGCATATAACTGTCCAATTTCACTTAAAAACATGAGCCAGTTACGATGGTTGTTTTTCAGCTTGATTTCTAACTGATATTTTCACTGTGATAATCTTTATTTTATTTCCTGGCTTCAACTCATCTATCATCTCGTCTCCTTTAATTGCAATAAGGGTTTGTTTTTTGTAGTTTCCAAAACAATGCAAGGGGATATTCCCAGGAAAGGACTCTAGTAGAGAACTATAGGAGCCCTTATGTCTTAAGTGAATGGTCTTCATAATGAAAACAAAACTTCTGTGAGTCTCACAAAATGGCTTTTTGGTCAATATTCTTTACTTGATATTTTAGCTAGATGTTTGAGGTCTAAAAACAAATGGTGCTGAAGTTCTATCTGCTAACTTAGAGACCTTGTGCTTCAGGAGACTGAACACAGTAAGCCATCCTTTTCTTGATCATAGTGATAGTTTTGGTTTTGAATTACATCTATGAAGTTTGTAAGGCATTGTTAGCCATTATGGATTGGCACAGTGAATAGACATCTATGTAATATAATGTGATTCATTATGGGCCTCATTCTAATTCAGACATTTATACAGAATAACTCTTCTACCGAAGAAAATGGCAATACTGTTGCTAGGTATTGTTTCTCAATTGGTGGTTCTGTCATGCCACAGAGAAGTGTTGAGAGTATTGAAACAAGTGGAAAGGATGGAGTGTAACTTGGTTGTTATGTATTAAATTGACTTTAGGTCCAATCTGAAACCCCAGGTTGCTTGGAGAAGAAGCATGACTACGTCAACAGTGATTTATATTTTAAAACATAGACCCAGAAATAGAAAAACTACCCTTATACCCTGTGGCTTAGTGTACAAGGCTTTGCTTTTGAAAAGGTTTTCCATGAAGTTGCTTGATTTCTTCTGCACAAGATGAGACATAATCAAACTTAAAAATTCCCTGCTCATTTTAATGCCACTAAAGGCTGAGGTTATTACTCTGTCATAGATTGTAAATAGCATTTTTTAAAGCCAGAATTACCTTTAAAACTGTGGATTGTTCTACAAATATATATGTGTATATATACATATGCTTCTGAAATGAGGATATATTATATAAAGTTTCTATTTGATCTGTGGACTTTCATTAGGTAGTCAAAAATAAAGAGACTTGAATGCAAAACTTTATATATAAATGTATATTTCTAATGATAGTAAAAATTGCCACTTTATAATAAAAAAAGAAACAGGTGGGAACAATACTAAAGCACATACTCCTTCAGAACGTTGGTTATTTTTTAATCCCCTCTGATGCAGCAATAATGCTTTAATGTCTAAAATGTTTCTTACAAAGCTATAATTCCCAATAGAAATTTCATCCCAATCTGAGGTTTGAAAGCTGATTGAAGGATGGGCAAAGGAAGTGACATATTGATCTTTATCAGGACATTTTGCTGACCATAATTAAAGTCAATATTTAAATCCAAATTGAGTTAAAATTGCTAATGTTCAGGGATGGTATATTGAGCTTCAATGACAAATAAAAGCAAAAAGGAGAGCACTTAACACTATAACAGCATTAAAATAATGCATTGAGCATTGCAGCATTAGTTTTACTAGCTGGAAACAATGAGCTGCTGTTTCTTTGTCTGTGTATCCAAACACAATATAATGACAGTAGCATTCATTTTACTCAAAGTCATTTAAAACTCTAAATTATATAGCCACAAAGAGAGTCATTATTAGCTCCATTTCAAGGTTAAGTGTTATAATATTAACAAATGATTGACACTAAAAATTTTTAATAAACATGTTATATGAGAAACCAAGCAAATTAATATTTGTTTTTCATTAAAGCACAGATTATTTAAGTCATTGTTTTTTTGAGATCAGCTTTGTAAATTGTTTATACACCACAACCTTCCTGAAGTGAAAAGAAATTAAAATCTTAAGTTACTCATGCATGTAGAATACTGGCACTTAAAAAACAAAACAAAACAAAACAAACAAACAAAACATAAAACTTCACCAAGAAGTCTCTCTTTTTCTTTTAGTGTGTCTATGCTAAAATGCGTGCCTGAAAAAGTGTGTTGTATACAGAAAGATATGGCTTTACAGATGGGAAGTCAATTAAATTTTATTCAACACTCAAAGGTAAATAATACTTTCTAATTACAAAGCTACCCTTGGTGACCTGACACTCGCTCCTCTAGGGTTAAGAATTAGAGTACATAACCTTTATTTCATTATTTATAATTTTTCATCTAGATACTTGGTTGAATTTAGAGATCATAAACTAAATTATCATCTCTGAAATCTAAGAAAGTTAGACACATAAATGATAGGATGCCCCTGAAAATGTGTTACAGTGGCATGTCACTTAGAAGTTGAACACCATTGATGATGCAGAAATGGAGTCTAGAAAGGAAGGGATTTCAGAAAGCAGAAAAGATGACTGCTTTGTAGAAACCAAGATGAAAGAGGACCATC